GAGTGCACCTATAGTTGAAATATACCACGATACTGAAAACTATCGTTAGATCTAAAGAGTTATCGATTGTTCGTTCAGAAAAACTTCGATCAGGAAGCAGATAAACCAACATAATATTAAAAGTTATGAATTTAATAGACATCTGCCTGAAGAGACACTCTAAGGTCGAAAGTTCTTTGGTAGCTCACACTTTTATGCACAACCTATATACAATATGACATCTACATTATGTTCTACATCTTCGTAAGTTTATATTATTTATATCATGGCTATCAGGCCAATTTTACTGTATGCCTCAGTAGTCTGGGGCCACACAGCTAAATCTCATATCACCAGATTACAAACATTACAAAACAAAATCGCGAGAATGGTGACAGGATCTCCTTGGTATGTTCGGAATAACCAGATCGCCAGGGATCTGAAACTCCCATCAATCGTGTCAGTCATTAAATAACGAAACATCAAGACTTTCGAAAAAGCTGAGGTTCATGAGAATCAGCTTCTTCGAAATGCAGTTGATTATGACCCAGGTGATCAATCAAAGTTCAAAAGACCGAGATTGTCCATAAACTAGGGAAAATATCGACATTATGACCAAATTTACTATTCTCAAGTTTATGATATTTATTTATTCCGTTCGATCTCTTTCAATTCTCATAATGTATTTCTGAAACTTATTTTGGACAGAAGGGCTGTTCGCATCAAACTTCAATACCGTTTTTATTTTGTTCCATAATAGATATCAGGATAAGAGGGACTCTTCCCTGGTCTGAATAAAATAAAAGAAAGATCAAAAAAAAAAAAGTTCAGGTTCCAGGATCCCTTCGAAATAGCAGAAGATACGACAGTGTTGTCGATGAACTTGAACTTTAGTATGTTCATTCAATAACGGAACTGGTTCTCACAAGTCTTCGGCGATCTTGACCGCTTTAATAGGCAAGGGGAAGTACTGGGTGTCCAAAAATGCATAAAATGTCACGTCCACACTACAATCACACAAACTACAAAGGAACTATATGAAATTCACATCATCATTTGTCATGTCATTATCATCTGATTTGTTTAGAATAATTGTGTTTTACAAAGCCCCATAAAAAATAATCCAAGGGCAGATGAATCACAATACAGATTTATGTTTAATTTTTTGGTTTTATCAAAATGGAATACCCTATCTAAAAGAAAATAATAAATTCAATTTCCAAGTTGGACAAGTATGACAATCAATAAAATCCAGGAAATATGTATAGACAAAGTCATTCACGACACTCCAAAAGTATCCCTATTTCTTACAACTATATCAAAAAATTCATGAATGTCATACAGTATATGAATGCCTTGATTTTTTTTATTGGCAATCCTCGGAAATCAGTAGGCAGTTATCATTATATTGTTTTTCTACAAACGCTTAACAAAGTAGCCTTTGACGCTTTCAAATTACAGCACAAAGTTGACGTTTTCCCAGAAATGTCATTTCTTGACAGCATTTGCGCTCGTGAGCTGAAATATTGAAAAAACGCTCGCACATCTCTGTAACCTATACTTATCTTTTCTTGAAAACCCCCAATTCTTTCATGATGGAGAATAGTGACAGTGAATCATCAAATACACCTCCTGATATAGCAGAAAGCGCAAGAGTTTGAGTCACTTACCGGAGAAATCAAAGAAGAAATATGAATTACAATATGATACATTCATAAATTGGTGCCACTCCGAGATGGTGAATATGTATTCAGAAAACGTTTTACTGGCTTCTGGTAAAAAATCAAAGACTTTGAAGTCATCAACTCATTGGTCTATATATTCGATGGTGTATATGCTTGAAGGTTAAAGATAATATCGGAATCAATAAGTATCTGAAACTTATCGCATTTCTCAAGAAACAATCTATTGGATATAAAGCGAGAAAAATTCAAAACATTCACCGCTGAAGATATATACCAACAAATTTCTACAAGAAGCTCCCGATGAAGCATATATCTGTTGAAAACGATGATATTCTTCATATTTAAACTCATTGTTGTCATCAGAAAGACAGTGACAGAGAATTTATCGTATTATACTATGGCTCAGAGGTCTGAAGCTCAGGTTGCCACGCTGGTGGTCCAGTTTCAATTCTCGGTAGGCCCGACATTTTTTTCTGGCTTGTGAGTCATTTCAATTTTTCTCTTTTTGTTTCCCTCTGACATATTATATGGGATAATAGGTATAAGAACTTTTTCAACTATTTCAATCGCTCATACTTTCAGGGCAGTTATTTCCAAAAGCTGCGTTAGTAGAAAAAATCTTGTGTGTATTTCGAGCACAAAGTGTTATTGCCGCTCTCCAAAGATTACCGCGCTCCGCTCCGCATCGAGCGGTAACTTTCTTTGTCGAGCGGCAATCTATCACTTTGCGCTCTAAATACACAAATAGCTATTGATGCCTAATGTATCTGTTTTTTCTTCAATCTATTCGCTTTCATCACAAGGTCACATTTGTTTCTTGAGTTATATTGGTGCATATCTGTGTGAGTGAAATATTTTCCCAAATTCTATCGAATATTCAATAGATTTTCGTAGACAATAACTGAATATAATGTCATTACTTTGAGATTTTTGAATAATAGTGGTCTGCATGTTAATCAAGTTCAGTTGATGCTATACTGCTTATGGCAAATTTTTGTAGCACGAATGGAAGACCCTTTAGTTTGACAGGAAAATATCATTATACAATATGTTATTTATAAAGCAAATTTGTGATTCAATTTGCGCCTGATGTACACTGAAAACGCGAGCATACTCGCCCATTCATCTTACAACATGGAAATCCCAACGAATTCTCACGGAAAAGCTAGAAAAATCTCTCATCCCCTCTTCTGTCCTCTTTCACTCGCGAATACATTCAATTATCCTAATGCATATTCCCGGTCCCCCTTTTTTTTTTCATCGCGCGAATTTTTCTGCAATTGTGTAAGTGTATTTCCTTCTATTCATTTTCCGTTTGTTTACTGCTGCTGTTTCGAGTTTTCCTGCATTCTTTTGTCGAAACGATGCTCTCCACTCTCTACCGTCGCACGAAAATTTCCACCGACACAATGGAGACATAATTATATACAAATTAATGATGGAAAAGTGGGCCGTGTGGGGGAGAGGGGGTTCCCTTCCATAGGGCGAGATCGGATTAATAAGGACTGGGAAATTGGAGTTTCCACGGTGCTGGATACTTTTCCTAACGATTGCCCGCTTCGTTCACTACCAAAAGGAATATCATTTCTGTGATACGACTGGAAGGGCTATCACGATAATGGATGTCTACAGTGTCAATCATAAAGTTGGCATCATATGGGAAAGAGTTTTGATAATAGTTGATTCTGAAATTCGACTTGGGAGTTTTGCTTCGGAAAAGATGAAATTTGGCCTACTCGATCGGAGTCACGTTACTTTCGTGGGAACATCTCGTTTGACCCAAATTTTAATTCACCCAAATTTCGATTTGCCCAAATTCTGATTCGCCCAAATTTCGATTCGCACACATTTCGATTGTTGAAAATAGCTATTTGTTTAACTAGGCAGCAAAGCAGTAGATTGACTGCCGTGGCTGAATTCATAGCCGAGCGTAGCGAGGCTAGGAATCCAGCTAAGGCAGTCAATCTACTTTGCTGCCGAGTTGAACATATAATTTTTTCTCCGATTGTTCATAATGATATGGGAGAATATTGTATTTGCGAATTAATACAATTCCCACAATCTCTTTATTCTTCCTGTATAGTGTTCAATTAAAATAAAATTTGATAGAAATCGCAGTTGCTGGTTTGACAATTCATGAAATTTCTGACAGTTGTGCGAAAAAATATCGGTATATTTAAATTATTATATAATGGACAGTGATAGCGACCTGGAAGTATACTTACACCTCCATTAATAAGGGAGGTGGCAAAAAATATAGAGTTGAATTTGTTGCCGGAGAAGTCTCGGATGAAATATGCAGGAAATTATAAACGATTTATGGATTTTTAATTTTGCTGATACACATCAATCAGCAAAGTAACCACTCTGCTGCCTAGGCAGCAAAGTACCCACTCTGCTGCCTAGGCAGGAAAAGTAATACTTTGCTGATTGATATGGGTCAGCAAAATTATAATTTCTAGGATGAGGGTTTATTTGGACCGAGTTATAGAAGATTATTCAAGAAATTAGTATCCTTGATTATTTCAAGTAATTTTCCTAAAAATATACCTTTTAGAAAAATTCATTCAGGCCGAGTATGGTTAGATTGTTAAAAAAAAAGTAGTATCTTCTGTTCTCTCAAGTAATCATGCGAAAAATATACATACTTTCTTGTGAGAAGGTTCATCTAGGCCGAGTTAAGTTAGGTAGTTTGGAAAAGGTACTCTCCTTCCTTGTGCAGAAAATAATATTTCCCTTCCTTATATTACGTCGGAATTTGGGTCGATAAAAATTCAACTTTGCATCGAACATAACAGAAATTTGAAGAGGGGATTATTATTTTCTGAAGAAAATCACATCTTTGTCGATAGTTTTGTTTTTTATATTCTGGTTCTCACGAAAAGGGATATCCTGTAATGTTAAGAGACCATCGTGAGAACCAAGAGAAATAAGGTAGGAATTGGTGTTCTTCTTCAATTTCTGGAGGTTATATGCCTCGGGGAACACCTTTCTTGGCAATGTGTTCCAGAGCCTCGCTGTTTGTTGGATGAACGAGTCTTTGGAAAGAGATGTTCTGCAGGTCTCCAAAGTGACCACGATGGGGTGCGAAGCCTCAACTCGACGGGTTAATCTCGCGGGGACTGCCAAGAGAGGAACAATTGTTGATATTTCAGAAAGCATCGTCCATGAAAATATCTATAAAGTAGAGCCAGATATGGGGTATGTTTGGGTGCTGCACTCCAAATATGGGAACAGTATTCCAGGACAGGTCGGATCTGTGCCTTATAGTTGTTTCTGGCTTGCAATTGGTCAGATTATGTGAAAATGTTAAGATGAGTGAAATAGTCAATAATATATTGAACATAATTATTTAATCATACTGTTAAGGAAATTAAGGTCATTCACTTTGAAAACTAATGTACAACTAACAATTGAATATAAGTCAGAATATTGACAAAAAAATATAACTAGTATATTCGTGCCACTGGGGTTTTCAGAGTTTTAGTGATATATCCCTAGGGAAGATTCCTCTGAGCAGTATATGGAAAAAAGTTTATAAGTAACATACATGGGTCCGAAAATGTTTATTTTCCGAGATACAGGGTGTTGAGTTTTTCATTAATAACGCGAAACGCTTCAGCCGATTTCAATGACATTTTCGAGTTTTGAATTGACTCGACCTTCACTTGATGGAAATTCATGACAAATGTAAAAACGTCACAAACGATAAGATTTCCACAAAATTCTTAAACACACAACATGAATAAACCTTCATTTTCGGAAATTAGGCACAATATCTACATTAAAATACAGTGTACAGTATTAACTTGAAACGGTTGATAGCCTTTTCCAGGTTTATTTAAATGATTAAATATTCGATACAGAATTTTCAGGGGTGTACCCAGTAAGCGAATCATTTGTATATCGTAGTGAATTTAATTATGGAAATGAAGGAAAAACATCAAATCAAATGTTCACTAAAATGCAGAAGCTTTTACAAATTTTTACTCAGTGAAAAAATAATCTTTCTAGGATGATAGACAGGTATTTTTAATTCCAAGAAATGGCAACTCATTCGCTGGTTATTTTGTTGTAAATAAATACACTGCGATAGATGTCTGAATATTTCCTCAATATTATAGTTTTCCCTTTTGAAGTTCAGAGACATGCCGAGCAATAGTGTTTCAGCAAGACATTGTGAAAAGTGACAAAGATGTTGTATATTGAGTGGTTTTATTCGAATAATTGGTGATAATCGCATAAAACTGAAGAGTGATATTTCATTTGTGAAATAACAACCCCTGGAAATTCTGGATCATATCTAATTGGTCCAGTAGATGTCCAATAATTGTATGAATGAACTGTGAAATCGGCTGAAGCGTTTTCCAGCTTTTCATGAAAGACTTCATTATTTCGAAAAACCTAACACCCTACATCTCGAAAACCGTACATTTTCGGACAGATTAACAAGATTAGGAACTTTTTGTCATGCTTTACTGAGCGGAATCTTCCTTATATGCTTTTGTTATACAGCACAACTCTGAAATGGGTATAAAATTATAATTTACTCGAATCCAAATATTCTCAATCTGGGTGGTTTCAACAAAACTCCTTCTTTCAAATCCCTCAACAGAGTCCTCTCACCTCTACTCCACATACCTCCCCGATGTTTTTCGAATTTGCCCACCCGCTCTCTCATTCTTGCCTCGAAATACTTGGCCACCTCGGGTTGTGCATCGAAAAACACCCCCAAAGCATCCCTAGTGATAGTATAAACCTCCGATGTTTCCACTGCTACCCATCTCAGTACAGTGATATTAGTCTTGTATATCAGCCACGAAGTAAGTCCGAATTCACCGCCTTCTTCTAAATGCAGGATCTCCTCTTGCACAGAATTGTATCCTGCAATGGTACCAGAAGCGATGAAGTATACGTGGTTGATTAAATATCCGTTATCGATGATGACATCGCCGGTCAGGTATAGTTGGTAGTCCATTTGTGCCACCAGGGTACCTAATGCATGTGGTGGCAGGTTCTTGAGAGCTTCGTGTCGTTGGATGAGCTTCCTTGCTCCGTAGAGGAACAGATCAGCCCTGAGGCTTTCCGACATGCTGCCCACTATTCGTCTCTCGTTGAAGTATTCGCCATTGAATTTGCTTCGGAAGTGGAGGATTACTCTTTCTCTCAGATGCGGCGGAAGTTCTTTGAAGCGGATGAAGCTCATCAGCTGCTGCATTTTCAGTTCGTATACGCTCGACGACATTTTCGTGTATCCGAAATATTCGAGGACTTTGGCCAACAGAATCAAGGTGCATATCCTGCCGACTAGGAGGATTAGGAATAAGTAGAAGTTTGTTATGGGATTCTGGTCGTCTGTCCATTGGTCGGTCGGGACGAAGAAAGCTCCTAAGAAATGATAGACCACTATACTGAAACCGCCTATATACCAGTCCCACATGGTGAATTCGCCAACTGGCTTCGATTGATATGCATCGATCATAATTATCATTGAAGGATTTGTCAGTACGAGGCAGGTCAAAAGATGCATAATGCCGACTATTAGCGTCAAGTGGTAAATTGCGAAGAAAGCTTTCTTCAATTTCATGAAGTTCACAAGGTTTTCCAGCACTGATAAGAAACTCTTGAATCTCACTAGGTAGGAGATAAACATGATGGAATATATGGTAACAACCACATTCACGTTGTTTGTTCTGAATATAATCAAATGACTTGCGAGGATCGCTACATCGAACAAAAAATACGTTCTCAAGCGATGGATGATTACTTTCTTGGGTTCGACGTAGATAGTCTTTGTGTGGCTGTCTGTGTAGCCTCTGAGAAAATGGGATATCATCAACATAGTCCACATCACGTCTGCGCCTGTATCTAGATTGGTTTGGAATCTCTTGATATGGAAAGCTAACAAATACACCCTTATCATCATTACAATGATGAATGCCGCATCCAGAAGGAGGTTGATGACGCTGAAGGGGTGTATCATATAAAAATGAGGACCCATGTTGTGTCTCCTCATTTCTTGTCTCATGGTGGAAGTGTTCCGGAAGAAATCTCTGTTTTGAGCTATGGTTATGTTCAGTATGGAGAGTTTCCTTATGAATCTGATACACTTTTGCCAATAACTGGCATTAGGCTGTAGTGGTGGTAGTCCGGTATTCTTCTGGCTCTCTTTGATTCTGCAAGTATGTTTCATGAGTTGTTCATGTTTGGACATTGTTGGGCTTTCACAATTTGCTGGTTTCAGAATTGTCTTTCTTATTGAGATCTGACGTTCGTCTTGACATAACTCAAGATGACGTTCTAAAAATTTCATTATTGATCACTGCAGTTGTGTTTCTGAATCGGAACTGAATTTCGGAAGTATTAGGCAAAAAATCCTCCTAGAATATGATTTTTTCATCGACATCTTCTATGATGAGAATAATGAAGAAACGATCAATATATACAGCGCTTGAGAGAGAGAAAGAACAAGAAATAGTAATACAGGAAGCCACATTTCCAGAGTGGAATCGAAAGGGAGAAACACTCATGTATTGTGGTTTCCACATATTATCTTTGAGAAACTATTTTCTGACTGATATACCCGAGATTATACCACATATGGAAAGCTTCAGAAGTTTTTGCCAAATCAAATATTCCCAAAAATTATATAATCTCCAAAAGTGAAAAAAAAATCCAATACCGAATTCCTCTTCCTATCTTCCCCAGGTAGGCACGATGTTTTTCGAACATTACGGAGATTGCGTTCGTGCGCTCCAAGAGATGGAAGAATAACATCACCTCTACACGGCTGGGTATAGTACTAAAAAACGAGGTGGGAATAAGTCATATTAATTTTAATATGTTTTTTCGAGTTGTTAATCGGGTAAAAGTGCACTTATCATGCGATGGGGCTTTTTTCGAAAATTTTTTTTTGGTACTTACGTATTTTCGTCTGAAAAACACGAATTTCATAATGAAAATGTGAACAAACCACTATTTATCGAGATATTTCACTATAAAGTTACAAATTTCACCATCTTTTCCGCCTGTCTTCTGGATCACATTAGAACAATTTGCCCTTCTTTTTCCATCATTGGACAATTTATATATATCACACAATGTTGGACACATTTTTTTTATTATATGAGTCAACTAAAAATATTATTTTCTTGTGATTTATCCATGTTTAGTGAAAAGAAGGAACAATATCATTTGAAATAATGGCGTGTGTAATGTCATTCCAAAGCAATCTATTGACATTTGACATCTCGTATTGGGATTGCATATGGATTAAATGGCCGTCATCTGGTATGCTTGCTCACTAAATAGGAAAAACTCGCCATAAAAATCATATTTCCTGTTGAATTTTCTATCTTAAAATGTGTCAGTGAAGTACATCATGAGTATATAAAGTGTCCAATGACAAAATAATAAGAGCAAGTACCTGTAAATGCATCCAACACAAGGGGGAAAAGAAGGCAAAATTTCGAACTTTTTCTTGAAATATCTTGATAAATAGTGGTTTGTTCACATTTTCATTATGAAATTCGTGTTTTTCAGACGAAAATACGTAAGTACCAAAAAAATTTTTCGAAAAAACCCCATCGCATGATAAGTGCACTTGTACCGTTAATCGGGTGATTTTGCATCATGCTATGGGTTTTTCTACAATTTTTTTTTACGTATTTTTGTCTAAGAAACACGAATTCTATAATGAAAATATGAACAAACCATTATTTATCATGATATTTCACTATACAGTTACTAATTTCACCTTCTTTTCCGCATGTCTTTTGGATCGCATTTAGAACAATTCGCCCTTCTTTTTTCATCATTGGACAATTTATATATCACAATGTTCTTCAATGATAAATCTTTTCATACATGAAAGTCAACTAGAAATATCATTTCCTTGTGATTTATCAATATTTAGTGAAAAAGAAGTATATCATTTAAAATAACGGCGTGTGTAACGTTATTCAGAAGCATCATGCAATCTATTGACATTTGACATCTTGTATCTGGATTGATGGATGGACATAACAGCCGTGTTTCGTTCAAGTCTTTTCGTATTTTCTGAGCGTGCGGAAAAATCCAAATATCTCTTTTGCGCACTCATTTGAGTGCTGAAAGCTTTTTCTGCACTATACTGATGCGTAAAATTGCATGTGGAAAAGTGGACGCACGCTAATAGAAAAAATTGAATACCCTTTTAAATTTTCATATTTCGTTGTGGAATTTCCTTTTTGTCATAAGTTTGGTGCGCCCATGACAATGAAAGTTATTTAACGCTTTCCACCTGATACTCTGAATAGGAACGAAACAAAGGATGAATGTTAAGTGGTTTTCGTATTTCTGTTTACCTGCAGAAGAGACACCAAGCGACGCTTTGAATTTTTAAGATTTATATTCAGATCATGAATTGAAATTCCTCGTTTATAATGAAAACAATCCGAATAAAAATCGAAAAAATGAATAGTTAGGTGAGTACTTCAGTCGAGAGAATAGCCAATTAGGATTCAAATACGTTGAGAACAGAATAGGAGAGTGGACTATTTTTTTTTTATTTCTCAAATTGAATCATCACTCAAATACCTTTCGATTTCATATTGTTTTAGAATTTTTCGGTCGGGTCGAAAGATACTATAGAAACTCCCTGTAATGGATGTAATGGATATTTTGAAACTTGATAAGAAAAATGACTTTCTCGTTACCTCTAATGGTTTTGTAGCAAGACATTCTCGTTCAAACCTGAAACATATTTATCTGAACTTCAGCTGAGGTAGAATGATGTTTCTTTCTCATAAGCCCTCGAGTGATACGTGGTCAATATAATAATATTTAGCTTCTATTTTTATTCCAATCGACCACTCTATTATTGAGCAGTGAAACACCTGTTGGGTGGCCTCAAATTCATAAATAAATTTATAAATAAATAGGAAAGTGCACAGATAGAAAGGATTTGTACGATGAAACAAATCCATTTTCTTGAAATTAAATTGCTTCTTACAAGAATTTTTCATTCGAATGGAGCAATATACACTTGTCTCAAATCAATCTGCTTGCTTGCTTCGTTTCTTGAAATTCCTTGATATGAATATGATCAACATATACAGTATATTTCCTCATTCAAGAAAACCTCGACTACAAGTGACATAAATTCCAATTTATATTGGTTCAAGAAAATCTCTGCTTGTCTAAAAGACTTGCAGTGACGTATATACAGCGGTACGCCTGCGCCCATTCAACTCAGTCGTTGGTTGCCATTTGTCATTGCCGCTGTTGTTTCTCATGATGACGGTGCAAAGCACCTTTGTTCATCAATGGCGAAGTGTTCAAGAATCAAGTGTGCTGAGTCATGGATAATAGTGGTGTGATATCATCTTCACAGCAATGTAACATAGTTTTTACCTAGTGAGGTGTTTTCCCTTCTCATTTTATCGGACTCATGCTGAGAAACTTGATATCAATCATACCTGAAACCATAACTACACATCACTGTCAACGCACATTCGTTCAGCAGTGACGATTTGACCAGTCGCATTCATACGATGAACGCTCTAATATAGGTATAGGTAGGTAATTGTCCAATCAATCAATCAATCAATCAAAATATGCTTTATTATCAAAGAATAATATCTTATTGACATAGCGTGTATTCATAAATGTAAATTGATTTGATAACATTCGATAAATGTATAAAAATAGTGAGTACCATAGAAAATTGAATTGAATCAAAACAATTAGTCACAAGTTTGCATGGATATAAATATTTTTTAACATGAAATACATTCGAAATCCAAAACTTCAAAAATTAAAAATTTCAAAATAAAACAAACAACTATTCTATCCTCATAGGCTCTATCGGAAAGAATTTTTTTCACTGCTTTTCTGAAGCTGGCGTTGGACGGTATATCTTTAATATAATTTGGAAGGTGATTGTACATTTTGGTTACTTTGGCGGGTGACGTATACCTTCTCTCGTCTCTCTGTAATGAAATTTTGTTTATGTTGAGACACACTCCATTCCTTGTACATTTTTTACTCGATTCCTGATTAGAATGATTGAACCAATAATAACATGTCTCCTTCTTTCCTGTTTTTACATACCTATAACAAGTTTTATATATGCCCTTTCCTCAAACGCAGAATTTCTTGTAATCAGAAAATATATCGTTGTCATGAAAGTTCGTTTGATTTCGACAATGCCTGGCTGTGATGAATAGAAATGTGGTTTATGACTTTCATTCAACAAGTCACTCTGCAAAACACACAAAACATTTTTCAATGTTGACGACGAAGGGATGTGCTGACTGGATCTGTCGAGTTCGTCTGACTGGTATTGCTAGTGATGGAATTTTTGCAGAGATTTCTGAGGAACATTTCCCGTGGAAGAATCTATAGAAAAGTGAAAGGTCGTAGCTATTTCACGAAACTTCCCAGAATATTATGTTTTTTCCACAGAGGAAATGGGTGAAATGAATTCCACTTTTCAACCAGTTTCCCTGAGGGTGCAACTCACTGTTGAGATATACCAAAAATGTTGTTAATAGGCTATTATCGTACGTAATCCACGAGCAAGTTGGAAGGTATTATGTTACTCTCTCGATATCTAAGATGGAATCAATCCTCTCATTATATTCTCCCTAATGAATTTCCAGAGCAACTACGCATATTATTAGAAATAAGTACATCGAATAGAATTTTTCGGTATAGTCATCCATCATAGCCATTGTTGGAATATTTACGTTGTTCGTTATATCAGAAGTTCCATGAGGAAAATCTTTCGTGGAAAACGCAGAGCCAAATCCCTCAAGTCGACATCGGCTATACTTTCCGTGATGTTTTCCTTTCCAGGCGCGTATTTCAGGCTTGCCGGAAAGCTAAACATTGGAATATTACAATTCCAGATCAAGGATGTACATCAGGATATCGACGCATAAATCTCTGCAGCATTCATTTTTTCGTTCGGAGAATGCCTGTTTCAGAGAAAATTAAGTTTTGACTGGTGCTTTTCAAAGTTCAACACTTTGATATCTACAAGAACTTCCTTCACTCGTATTGATACCTTATTTGTCACATGAATACCTACGTTTTATCATTAACCTATCAATATTTGATAATTACTACGTTATAACATTTCATGGGTCTTACGTTATTACATTTCAGTGTTCTCCTTTTTTTTCTGCAATCGGCTCAAAAGTCGTCCATTTTTGTTCCAAAATTAGCTCCTAAAGTCGACCTCTCTCTTACTGACACAATAAAATGATTAGTATGTATGTTGCTAGGCAACACTT